TCGTCTCTTTTCTTACCGTGGTTATTTCGAGTCCAAAAATGAAGTTAAAATAACCACGATCGTCTCTTTTCTTACCGTGGTTATTTCGAGTCCAAAAATGAAGGTAAAATAACCACGATCGTCCCTTTTCTTACCGTGGTTATTTCGAGTCCAAAAATGAAGNTTTTCTTACCGTGGTTATTTCGAGTCCAAAAATGAAGGTAAAATAACCACGTTTGTCTCTTTTCTTACCGTGGTTATTTCGAGTCCAAAAATGAAGGTAAAAATAACCACGCTCGTCTCTTTTCTTACCGTGGTTAATTCGAGTCCAAAAATGAAGGTAAAATAACCACGTTCGTCTCTTTTCTTACCGTTGTTATTTCGATTCCAAAAATGAAGGTAAAATAACAACGCTCGTCTCTTTTCTTACCGTGGTTATTTCGAGTCCAAAAATGAAGGTAAATAGGAAGGGTTGGCTCTGTCTTTTGCCTTGTTTTTTTCCAAGTCAATGATGAAGCTAAATAAACAAGGTTCGCTTTTTTCTTCAACTTGGTTAATATTTTTAAAAAAAGATTTGATGTTGTAACCCAGTAGTTATTCTGTTTGTAAATGAATTTTTGTAAGCCAGTAACTACTGGTGTTTTAAAATCGTAGATGTTGCAAGCCAGTAGTTATTGTGATTGTATTATAGTGTTTTGCGTTGGGTATTTTTTCATGGTCTAATTAAAATCAATCTAAAGCTGCGCACTACTATTTGGGTGAAAGCCTAAAGAAAGGTGTTGGTATGTCTGTAATCTGCTAAAAACTAGAAACTACAGAGCATTCTTTATTCTGCAAAAAATCCGGGTTTTTTATTTTTACCTTCTAGAGTGCACGCACTAAAACCGTGAACATTAAATAGCACTAATTAGTACTATTTCATACAGAATCCTTTGTTTTCTATTGTTTAATTATCACTATTTAGTGCTAAAAATTAGTATTTGTCTCACGGATTTAGTGTGAGCACTCTATCACCACATTAAAAAGTACCTTAGTTATAAGGAATGCACTAGACAATTGGCCCTTTTCCGAAATATGCTTCGTTTGTCACGCACAAATGTTTCAATGCGAGCCTTCTTGCACATGGTCCGTGATTCGTGACACGAGAAAATATTACATTTCATTTCGTACGCAGACTCGTTATGAAACCTTTGTGTGTGACAAGCGAAGCATATCTCGGAAGTGGACTATTTTAATGTCATTAGTCTAGAGTGCTCACACTAAATCCGTGAAACAAATACTATTTTTTAGCACTAAATAGTGATAATTAAACGATAGAAAACAAAGGATTCTGTATGAAATAGTACTAATTAGTGCTATTTAATGTTCACGGTTTTAGTGCGTGCACTCTATCGTTCGATTTTTAAAAAAATATTTTATAATTTAGCAACTACGAATTTTTGTATTTATGGCTCGGTGTTTGAGCCATATATTTATTGCCCCATAGTAAGATTGGGCTTCTGTGTTCTTAAACCTTTTGAAAAGATCTGCATTATTGAAATTTACCCTATTCCAATCTCGTACCCAGAGCCCTTATTTCTGACTGCGCATGCTCGACGAAATAATTGGGCTCTAGAAAACTCCAATATTTCCTGTGCTGTGATTGGTTCTCGAGAACAAAGGAAGATACCGGAAGTAAAAATTACAGTACTAGGGAAAATAAACAAGATGGCGTCTCGAATTAAGTACACCAAAAAATCCGTAGGCCCGGATTTTTCAAAGTTTTGCTGGTTTTGTAATGGAAATTGTATTGATGTCCATCCAATAGATATTTTCGGAGTTAATTTAACTGAAAACCATCTTCAAAACCTAATTTTCCAAACGCAAATTCACATGCTCGTTGAACATCGTATGCCATTTTGAATTTACCTAGTCTGTCATAATGCGCATGTGCAAGAAACCCAGAATCTGGGTCTTCCAGAGTTTTCCAGAGYCCAATTATTTCGTCGAGCATGCGCAGTAAGAAATAAGAGCTCTGGGTACGAGATTGATCCTATTCTTTTTCTTTCTCCCCCCGCAGTTATGTCATCTTTTTAAATACTTATAGAAATAAAATGCACACGTTCGAAGTAACCAAAAATGTATTACTTTATTTCAAATACTAAAAGAATTACTAAATAAATTTCGAGTTTAAAATGAGCGCAGATAGATATTATATTAGTCTTATAATTACATATATATAAATAAAATCGATAAAGCTTATTTGATAAACTGCGAGTAAATAACATTTTCTATACAAATTATTCGAAACTTTACGAACACTCTAAAATCAATGGGAAGGCTAGCTAAAACTTCGATATATTTTCAATTATTTGTACAACTCCAAGCTGCTTTTGAGATAAGTATCCTAAATTATAGATATAATAAAATGTCGAGGTAAATTTGAATGTTCAATAATTCAACTTTCATTGTTGACTTGAATATTTTGCAACAGCCTTGGTGCCTTCGCTGACCGCGTGCTTTGCCAATTCTCCGGGAAGCAAAAGCCTGACTGCCGTTTGAACTTCTCGGGAAGATAGTGTCGACTTGTGGTTGATAGTGACGAGTTTAGCTGCTTCAACGGCGAGCCTTTCGAAGAGATCATTGACAAATGAGTTCATTATTCCCATTGCTCTGCTTGAGATTCCAATATCGGGATGAACTTGCTTCAGAACTTTGTGAAGGTAGCGACCAAAGGTTTCAGGTTTCTTTCTGCGTCGCTTGTCTTTCTTTCCATTGCTTGACATAGGACGGATAGACTTTAGAGGTTTATCGTTTCCAGCACTTTCAGAGCCACTTTCAGGTTCAGAAACTGGTCTTGCATTTTCTTTATCACTGGTTTTCTTTCCACGGTTGACCATCTTGGAATCTTTAAAGTATCTGCTTGGAAATTACGTGAAGTTTCTTGCTCTTGTATTAGCTCGCTGTCCTCGAATAAGATAGCCTGCTTGCAAACAGAGCTTGGTATTTATGGCTTCGTAAAGCATGCTTTGCACGTTCATCCCGTGCGCCTCGTTCTTTCGTGAGCGCACTGATATTCGCACTAGTGAGCGCACTGACATTTTCACGCTTTTTCTTGTGCAACGTCATTAAAATCAGTGCAGAACTTTGAGAAAATACACAGCAAATATAGCGTTTTCACGTGACGTCACAGCGGCCATTATGGGGTACCAAAACAATATATTTTCTATCCTCCGGGAATTGAACTCTATTTTTATGCAAATACCGTGCAGAAAGTTTCTATTGTTTATGGCTGCCTTCTCACGTGAGTGAAAACGCTCTATCTTTATTGTTGAAGTGTAATCGTTAATTCTGTAAAACTGTCAATTCTCTACTCGTTACGAAAAAGAAAATACGTTGCGCGCGCCGCGGTAATAGGAAATCTAAAATCCTTCGTTTTTYCCCCACAAGCTTGCAACGCAACATTGCATGGCAAGTTTCATAATTCACTGGTTCAAAAACCTTTTCAATGTCGCATTTGGATCAAGACTTTGTGTCATTTAAAGTGCTTAGGATCGATCCATCCCACAAGGAGTAGGGGAACCGTAAGAATGGGGTCATTTGAGAAACACAAAAATAATTCGCTGGTTAATCATCCACGGTCTAGGGGCGGACTAACCTCTCCCTTAGGCTTCGGCCGAGCTTCCTGATCAGTGACTGGATAGCGGGTGTCGGGGCCGAAATCTACGGCATAGCCGCTTACGATCGATCCATCCCACAAGGAGTAGTGGGTCGGTAAGAATGGGGTCATTTGAGAAACACAAAAATAATTCGCTGGTCATAGCAAGGGGTTAATCATCCACGGTCTAGGGGGCAACTAACCTCTCCCTTAGCTTCGACCGAGCTTCCTAATCAGTGACTGGATAGCGGTGTCGGGGTCGAAATCTCCGGCATAGCCGTAAATGCTTCGCGCTGCCATACTGCGCTTCAGCTTTAGGTCTGGAGGTATGGTCCTAAATTAATCAGCAAAAAAAANTAAAATGTTCCAAGCTCAACCAAACCTACGTGATGTTTTCGATTTTTCGTTACAAATCCCAATCCCATTTTTCTTTCACCAATAATTTCCCATTGAGATTGTCATACCAGTGTACAGAATGTTTCTATATTGACTTCATCTATTGAAACAATAAAATGTTTTAGCAAATTTTAAAAAAAGGTTCGTGCCTAACCACACCTATGTGATGTTTTCGATTTTTCCTTACAAATCCCCCGCCATTTTTCTATCACCAACAAGCGATTGCCAACCGTTAAACTAACCTTGGGTATTACAGTTGGACGACACTTTAATTGGGCTGAAACTTTTACCTGGAACATCGTTAACAGTCTATTAAAACATCGGTTAATATGTTTTATTGATATTCCGATGAAAAGTATTGTACATAATTTGGGAAAAGACTTTAACCAGTGTTTATTAAGCCCTTAAAGCTTATTCCAGTAAGGTTTCAGCTCAATTAAATTTTGGTCCAAGTGCTCCTTTAAAGTTATTTTAAAGCGCGTTATTTAAGTGATCGTAAACATATTCCATATAATACCAAGTTAATTAAACAAATAATTTACATCACCGTGAACTACACTAAGAAAATAAATGTAAAATTAATCTTGTAGAAAAATATTTTTTGAATAAATTTAATTGAAAATAAGTTTCTCTTTTTACCCAGAAAATATGGCTACTCGTTTCCCGAATACTACCTCTGTAGTGAGTACATAAAAGCGACCGTCCTCCTCAGCCTTTGTATGCAAAGGAGCGACCATATATCGTGTATGCGACCACCCGTTATCATATAAAACAATTCATCTCCATCTGTAAGCCATCGGCCTTTCAAAGGGAGTACTCTTAAAAAGTACCTATGACCCTTTATGAACGTCCAGCATTTCAGTAAGAGGACTTAATAAAAATACCCACAGACCTTTACAAGCGAAGAGTCTTTTTAAGAGCCTACTTTATGAGCCGAACCATTTAATAATTTTATAGACGAAAACCCACTTTCTCACTGAGAGCATCATTTAAAAAAAGACGATCACTTATTCTCGGCGATCGCGCTATATTCTGTCGACCGATTAATCAACAAATTATTTTACGAATACCAGGGTTAAAAATGGAGCCTTTGCTTCGTATAATGCTCTGAAACCGAGTGTCTCTTTTTCAAAATAATTTGTTCAATCAAGGCGTCTTCTAACGTAAGCCAAAAGACACCCATTGGAGTAAACGAGAAAACAAGAAAAGGTCAATATATTTAGCTGTGTTTGTACAGTTTATATGAAATTACGGATATTTTGATGTGTAAAGGAATATTGATTTTATATGTTTAGCCAGTGGTTTTGAGTTGTATAAAAAATAAAAAAAATAAAGAAAAAAAAAAAAAAAAAAAAAAAAAAAAAAAAATTGATCGTTCAAGTATGCTATTAAATGCCTTTCTCTTGGGATTGCGCGCGCATCTATTACAACATCAAAGCAAGTCAAAAAGACAATGACTTGCCAACAAAACACACGGTACTCATTAACGCTACTGCGTCCGATGGCTACTCCAAAGTGCATACTTGAATCTCATGTATTTTGCAGAGTATTACGGATATACTTTAAGGATTTGTATTTCAATGTTATCGGTAGTGAATTCTGCATTAGATGTCGATAAGGGAGACTTCAAAATTAAAATGCTGGCTGGTTCTCTCCTGTGCTTCGTGGGTTTTTATCCAGTTCTACTATTTTTTTCCTCCGCAAAAAATCAACCTTTAAATTTCTAATTGGAATTTCAGTGGATAAAGAGCCTCTGTCTATGGAAAACCACTGATAAATTCCATACACTTATTTTAATAGAGCTAGTCACCTGAAAAGCTATAAGGCTGAGGCCTACAAGGATTATGGGTAGATTCATTTTACACGTTCAACCGCTTGATAACTGTTCATGGACTTGCGAATCTTTTACCGGTTACAGTCACCTCTTCTGAGCATCATCGAGCTGCAGTTTGTATTAAAAAAGCTTTGTATATATATGCTTTTTTGATATGAAGTTTCCCATGATGCTCAGTGATCTCAGCTTTCTAGGTTTTTGGTGACTAATTTTATTGAAATAGTGTATATTTATTTATTTTCTATTTATTTAAAGTCTTTGGATGATGTAACAATATGTTGTATTTTAAATTATTTTACTCTCGTTCGTATTGTTCACGTACAGAATAGAATAGTCCTGTCGTATGCAACTGTTTCCATTCACAACTTCTTTCTAAAAATGCAGTATTTTTTGACTGACAATAGACCCTTTCCGAGCTCCAAATTACCGCTGTGTTTCTTGATTACAGACTCATTTACACAGGGTTAGCCTCGCATCAGTGTTTAAATATTCACRAATACCAAAGGTAAAAGAAAAAAGAATGGACGACACCAACATTACACTTTGAAATTCGACGGACCTTGACTGGAACACGTGAACATTCTACATCGAGGCTAAGCCTGAGTAAATGAGTCTGTAATCAAGGAACACAGCGGTAATTTGGAGCTCGAAAAGGGTCTATTCATTCATTCATTCATCATTCAGGACGTCCGCCCGCTATCCGACCGTTCAATTTGTTCATTCATTCATTCATCTATCAGCGCGTGCGTAACTTCAACCCTCTTTCTGTCTGTCTGTCCCTATTCCTTTCATCCATTCCTTCTCTCTTTTGAAGCGTGACATTGCTAGCAGAGAGAATGCGTGACGTGAGACATAATGGTGCACGTGATCGTCTTCCTGCTATGAACCAGGATCCATACTTTTCTCAGGTGGTAACTTCTCTAAGATACGACGTGCTATCTGTAAATAGGACTGCGCCTGAAACGAGATAAACAGTTACATGAATGACGACACATTGACTTTAGAAAGGGGTCCGATTACCAAGCTTTCATAAAGATGCCACGACGTGACTCGCTTGGCCAAGTTGGTTGATCATCGCATTTTGTGCTGGTCATGGGTTTGGACTAACACTCAGGGTTTTCAAATACCTGAGTGGAAGTGCTGCCTTTACTCGATCTGCAAATGACCTTCGCTGTGGCTGTGATGACCATGTGTAATGGCGGTTTCGTCTCATTCACAGACGTTAAAAATAGAGGGCCACAAGTATATCAATTGTGACTCAGTGTCAAAAGTCATCCTCTCTATACACCGAATCGAAAAATGGCGACCAATTTGAATAACTATTGTTCTGGACTGACTAGCCTCTCTTACATGTGAAAACGCTTTTATGTTTCCACGTGAACACGAGGCTAGACAGTGCAGAACGATAGTTATTCGCTGATTAGTGTCTATATTTCGATACGTATATTATGATACGTATCGCTTTGTTAAAGGTGGACGTTTATAAACTAATATTCCATAAAAATGGATAGTTTCGTAAATCCAGTATCATCACCTGAGGACTTGAAGGCTGTGAGACGACGATCGGTTTTCCTTGGTCAGCAGTTTCTCTTATTTGAATATCCAATGGCACATTACCTATGGGACGATGAAATAGAAAATCAAAACATGTCCCAAGTACTAGTTCCGACCTTTTGAGTGATAGCGAACATGATGCATTCTGGTCCCACTTGGGTACAAAGAGTTTTATTAATGCTTTATATGGGTTTGCAGGTACCCAAAATAGTCCAGAATGCACCTTGTTGTTGAAATCAGAAAAGTCCAAAGAAAAAAAACTTACCTAGTATTTCTATATTGAGATCACGTGCTACATCTTTGGCGCCATCTTGACCAAAGATGTAAGCGGTGTGGTTACAGTTGGGGCAGACATAGTGATTCATGTTCTGGACCAGACCAAGAACCTGCAGAAGGAAAAGAAGCAGAGGACACCATGAACGTGAGACACTAGAAGTGGCCCTAAAACTTGAAATGTTTATGATTGGAAGGACATATTTGCGCCAGCAGACTAGTGTGCTTATAAACGAGAAGGCTTATAACTTTTAAGTAATTAAAATACCTTCTTAATAACTTCTAAGAGGTTAATTATGAATAGAGAAATGGCACTTTAGAACAAGCGAAGACTGTTTTGTATCCTTAGTACAATTTTATACGTACAGGAATGTTGACTTTTCTAAACATTTCTGCTCCTCGTCTCGCATCCATGAGAGCGATATCCTGAGGCGTGGATACTATAACAGCACCTGATACGACAACATTAACTATCCATTAAAGTTCAGGCTACAATTAGCGAAAAAATACCAGGAGACCTGAACAWTCTAGGAAGCCCAATATTCCCCTTAACAGTTCCCTGCGCCATCTTGAAAGGTAGCCGTGCCTTTGCATTGAAGCAAGATGAACAGTGAGCTTGCAATGATGGAGTCCTTTTTTAACACCTTGGACAATTATTCACATGTCTCTATCATTACGAGCTCATCGTTCTTCTCACTTCGATGCAAAGGCACGGCTTCCTTTCAAGATGGCGCAGGGAACTGTGAAGGGGACTATTCCAATAGAAAGAAGCTTTTCTCCTCCAACCCCCTCCCCCTTGCAATGTTAAATGGACGAATGCACAAGTACTACCAATTGTTAGGCAAACATTGATAACAGAGAGGGGAGTTTTTAGTATTTGGGAATAGATTGTAGAACAAATTATACGAAAATTTCTATAACTCTAGACATTAAGCAGGGGGTTCCCATTATTTTATTGGCCAATAGAGCAAGTTCATGTTACGTCATAGCCGCCATCTTGGTTGACGATAACAAAGCATTCCTCATCAGCTTCTCTTGTTGGGTCAACCAAGATGGCGGCTGTTTCATTGTTATTCATATTTCAAGGGATTTTGAGTCACATGGTTGCACACACTCTATTGTACCTACAAACAAGTCTATATGTAAACTGAAAGCGTGCGGCTCGAAGGACAAAGTCAGTAGTTGCGCAGTCCCGACACGAGCATTTGCGCGCAATATTTGTCAGGAAATTCCGCTGTTTACTATGAGTGATGACATTGAGTATGAGGGCGTTGCCTTTAAATACTTTGCCCTGCGCACATCACAGCTGCATTGAAATAAATTTCGTATTTATCCACTCGCGTGACTCAAAAGGCATTAAACAA